TATAATGATGATGATGATGATAGCTTCGAGCACCGGCCAAACCGGTGTTGGTATTGCCATGAGTCCCCGGGATGAAGCTGCTCTGGTTGACTGGATTCCAATCAGTAGCCGGATATGTGCGGTCCGATTGGCTGATTCGTTCAAAGCTGTAAAGTCGAGGGGGCTAACAGGTCTCTATTCGTTATCATTGCCTATGCAACGACAAACTCTAGCGATGTCTCAGTAAAAGACGACTTCTATCGCCAACTGAACGAGCTCCTTCGCCACAGAAGAAGCTCGGACATTGTAGTGCTGGCTGAGGATCTGAACGCCGAGGTTGTAAAATTATCCACGAATGATCTGCATCTGGGCGGCAACATTGTGTAGGCCCCCGTAATGATAACGGTGAGTGGTTAGTTCATTTGTGTGAGGATGCTCGCTTATTTCTTGTGAGCACTAACTTCCGACACAGCACCCGCCGGAGGGTGACTTGGCGCCCACCAGTCTCGAACTAGCTATGGACGCAAATCCATCCCATTGCGATAAGTTACCGATGGAAAGGCTGCATCCAGAGCTGTCGCTCGATTTGGAGCACATGTGTAGACACCGACCATGTACTTGTATGTGCTGACCTGCGGATGCGCTTTGGCGGACGCCCACGACGACGTGTGCCCGCATTGACACCAGCCAACCGACGAAGCCAGCTGCTCTGAATGCCTATCAAAGTACGCTGTCATGTGAGTAGTATAAACGCTCACTGGATGTAATTGAATCTCACTGGTCTCCTGTTCACCAGACATTACCTGCAGTAGGAAAATCCTCATGTGCTAAGTCTAATCACCAACAGGGACATTGGGTCTCTTCGCGGTCTCTGGAACTTATCGATGGTCACCGGCATATTCCGGCTGGAAGCGAACACATTGAAACTCGCAAAGAGCTCCGGGCAAAACTCCGTGCTAGCCTGAAGAGAGACCGCGAATCCTGGTGGTCTCATCGTGCGTCAGAGAAGGAAATGGCCGATGATCTTGGAAACAATCGTAAGTTATTCCGTCTGATACGGGAAACGGGCAGCAGGAGACCTGGTGTTAGTGAGACTATGCGTGAAGAGAGTGGACAGCCTATCCACAACTTATCAAAACGCTTAGAGCGTTAGGCTGAGCACGTTGAAAGGCAATTTAATCGGTCGGAATAGTTAGATTTCTCGCCGGCCACTGATCGCGCCGCTCCCTGGTCTGTCCCTTCGGATCAACAGTCTCGCTCAGAAGTCGAACGTGAGATCGCACAGTTGAAGTTAGATAAAGACGCGGGACCAGACGATCTTCCTCCAGCCTTCTTCAAATTTGAGGGACCTGAACTTGTGGATGCTTCACACGAGTTACTAGTGAAACTGTGGAATCAGGAAACTGTCCCAACCGACATGAGCCGCTAGTTCATAGTCCCAATTTTCAAGGAAGTCCCACGATCGGAAAGCGGCAGTCATAGAGGAATCAGTCTGATCTCCATCGCCTCCAAATGGCTTGCTCTGTCATTCTTCACAGACTGACTGACACTCGTGAAAGCCATATTCGTGAACAGCAAGCCGGGTTTCTCCGAGGTCATGGCTGCATTGACCACATCTTCACTTTGCGTCAGTTGTTAGAGCACCGTCACATATATTGGCGGCCCACCATTGTCGTGATCCTCGATATCAAAGCTGTATTCGATTCGGTGGATAAACGTGCAGTTTAGGACTGTCTACTCAGGAAAGGTATACCTGAGTGATACGTAACTATTAACTGAGCATTATCCGCGCGTAACTCGGGTAGAGTGAGGGCTTACGGCAAGCTGTCTTCGCCCTTTACTATATCCAACGGTGTGAGACAATGATGCTGGCTGTCACCTATCCTCTTCAAGTTCGCTATTGATGAAGTCATGGAAATCGCGTTTACAGGACGTGACTCAGAATGTGTGGATCTGCTCCCAGGTGAACGACTTCTTGACTTCGAGTAGCTGATGATATTGCCCTAATCTGTGACAGCTCTCAGATGTGCCAAGTGGCACTAAACAGATTAACACTGGCTGTCCGTTACTTCGGGTTTTGCTTTGCACCATCGAACTACAAAGCTTCCCTCCAAGATTGGTCTGGACGGCCTCCTACGCTGACCCTTGGTGGGGATCAGCTAGAAGTCGTTCAGAAATTCAACTACCTGGGAATTATATCAGCGCCCGTGGGATTGAAGATGAGATCACGAACCGCATAGCAAAAAAACGAGACGCTTTTGCTAATCTTCGCCCCTTATAGCGCCGGCGCGACATCACTCTCGCCCTGAATGGTAGCGTGTACAATGCAGCGGTACGTTCGTGCGGTTGTGAAACCTGGCCCCTAAGATCGGCGGACATAAAGAGGCTAATGACGTTCGACCATCGGTGCCTTCGCAATTTAACTCACATCTGGTGGGAACATCGCGTGAGCAACGAGCTTGCTCGACCCCTTGTTTACGGCACAGGAAAAGGAAATGAACCGCTCAGCACCGTTATTTTACGCACCAAGCTCCGATGGCTCGGCCACATGTTAGGCCTGTCAGCCCACCGACTCCCGAGACGTGCATTGTTTACGCGCCGTGTGTGTGGATGGAAGAAGAGGAGGGGTGGCCAAGCAATGAGTTAGTCGAGAGGAATGAAAGCCCTCGCTTCAAAGCTAGCCTCGGTTGGAGCATCTCGGCTCCGTAGTTGGGGTCCGAGTTACCATGAACACGTCTGGCTTGATACACTTACTGACCTATCTAGGAGCCGACCTCAGTGGCGTTCATGCTGTGAGTTTCTTTGTCCCACCCCATCCCTCTTATCCTCCCCCTCCAATCACGACCTCACTATTTAGCCTTATAAAATTCTGCATAGTAACTTTTTGATGCATAATAGCCGGCTGGAAAGATGCCGGAAAGATGCCCATCTGTTACCGGTAGCTCAGCTGGCTTGCACCAGTTGCATTTTTTTCTCCTTTTTTCTCCTACGTATTGCGGCACAATAGATGAGGTGTTTCCCACCTTTAACTAACGTGTATACAAATGATACTGATGATTATTACTATGGAATGCTCTCCTTGAATCAGTCGTTTCTGCAAAAATAGCCATATTTAAAGGAAGGTTGGATGACGCACTCATCCGCTTGCATTATTTTACTTAGGCTGGCTTGCCAAACAACCTCCTCGTGGTGCCAGCTGGGTGGTTCGGGATTTTCCCGTTCCAGCAAATGGTTCGGCGGCAGTGTTCCAGGACGTGGTGGGTTTTCGCCTGGCAAGCGTTCTCCCTATAAAAAGCCACATATGTCCGTTTGACAACACTGTGACGTGGCGGACGTGACTCGCCACTAAATAAAGTCACTGCCCCTTGCTTCATCCTGGCGAAGCATTGTATTCCAGCAAGTTGATGCTGTAATTTCGGGGAGCATTGGGCCCCTGTTTGGCAAAGGAACAAACGAAAGGCGTATGAACTGATCAATCAGTCACCGGCTCCCAATGGGCGCGATTCCCTGAATTCGCTCCGCTGCCTTGCGGACAGGCTATTCAGCCAAAGGCTCGGGGTGGTGTCCCCTAAGTCAACACCCTACTTCGGCTTGGGCAACCGGGTAGTATTTCGCCCTCTGACGAAACCGTGGACATTGTTGTGTTGTGTTTTCTTTTACTATTTCTGTACCTTGTTTTGAGTTCCATGGTTTCCGATGGTGCAATGTCTATTCATAGACTGTTGCAAATATATACATATATATATATATATATATTATTTTACTTAACACTATCTCTCTGTGATAATTTTAGGAAATAACTTACATTGTTGTTTGTCACCTACTCCTGCATTATAAACCAACTGAAGTGTAGAACTACTGCTTTACATACGATAAAACATACTTTTCATAATATTATCACAAAATGTTTTTCTAACGGAGTTTGTAAAGGTGTGTTTCTCCGCCGTATAAAGTTGTCCTTCACTCTTCAACATATCCAGCACAGAAAGCTAAACTGAAAATTCATATATCTTGTCAATTGTTAAAATCCCATCAAGAATTCGCTTTGGTTTAACTTGTAGCAGGCCAAATATGCCTGCGCATCATACGTGCTCTATAGTTTGGCTTGCATCTGACGGTTAATACTTAGCGAAAAACTGAAAACCATTTGGCTTTTACGAGCTTAAAACATGATTCACCGAAACATGTACGACGTCCATCTCCACTCAGATTCCTTGCTCACAAGCGTAAATTCAATGCCTGTTCTTAAGCACAACTGATCATAAATCTGACGTATATTACCAAATATAAGCCGATAATTTGCGGACAGTTTTTCATTTCTGTAGAGCTGGGCCGACTTATAAAATTTTATACGCAACTTGAAAATTGTCACAAGCAAAATCCACCCAGCAATTCACTGTGCACCTCTGCTCCCTCTCTCCTTAGTATTACTCTCTAGTGACTGAGTGCACCATGGGCATGTTACGTCGCTTTAGCCCTTTTTTTGCTGGTGAATCGAAAGCACTTATACATTACAGTAGCCACAATGGACCGCTAGTAGAGCAGGTTTCGCTTGAACACACTAAAATGAGAGCAGATAGTGATGACGTAAAACTTCGAAAAACAATGTTTCAGATTTGTTGATTATTTGGGGTCGGCTAGTCTAGAGGCGCAGACAGTACAACTTTGATTTTGCAAAGGCAGGCTGTAGGTCCATCCATGGACGGGCTTACATTCGGTAATACACTACATTCTCAGTGCGACCAAAAGTAATAGTAACATCTTGTTGCTATTTGATGTGATATTAGTCTCTCTTTTGGCACTCACTGCAATAACGACTGAGGTAGCCATCACAATAAACTACATGTTAACTGAATGAAATGATGTTAAACAACCTTTCTGCAGCTGTTGAACAAACAGTAAAAAATGAAGCTGATACAGCAGCAAGCCCTAGAACCTGCACATGTGTGTAAATCGCAGATAGTACATCCTGCTTACAAGTACCGTCCAGATAATATTGCCTGCCGCTAAAGACTACTAACCTTTTACTATGACATCTGCGCTTTGAAGGATTTACCAATTGTAGACATTCAGGGAGCAGTTTGGCATCCATGGAGCTGCCGAAAATCCTATCATCAACAAAGATGAATTTAGAGTTATGAGTAATTGGATCGGGCTTCAGCGTAAACATTGTCAGTCTCTCGATATTTCCACGCTGTCTAATAGGCGAATTTGCGGTCACTGACAACGAGCACGGCTGAGCACTTCGAGGAGAGGTACATTCGACTTTGAGCGCATGATCTGAACGGACTTTTGGATCCCAATCCTTAGGTACAGTTGTCAATGAGTGCGTTACGACGTCAGTACATGAGTTCGGTGCACTTCTTTCCTTGCTCAGCTTATCGTAAATAAGTGGGGCAAATTTGTCAGCTCCAAATGACCTTCTCTGATCACCCCACACAATTTCAGCTTCACTTTCACCAGAATAAGAATATCTTGTGCTGTACATATTCGGAAAGTTACCATCGTCGATATGGTAATGTGACAACGCTGGTTTTGTAGAAAAATGTTTGTATCCAATGTTGTTGTCTTCAGTCAATTGCATTGGGACTTTTAATAAACCTGATTCAACCTTGTTTAGGTTTGTTCTCAGTTGATTCTGCGATGAGAACAAAATACGGTGCCATAAACCTTGATGCTTGTGACGTAAGGGTCTGGGCATTCTCACTGTTTGTAGAGCAGACTTCGTTGTTGATTTAGTGCTGTTGCAGGATTCACGGCTACGCAGGGCTGTCGGTTCATCATTCAATAATGACTTCTGAACTTCTTCCGACCCAAATGTGCCCGGTGCTTGAATTAATTCAGCTTCAAATGGAGTGCTCTTATTTGTTTGATCGCTCTTTATATTATCTTGAGATACCAAGCTACCATGTGAATTTGTGCATTGGGTTTCTGTAAACTGTGGCTCGTTATCTGCATGACCAGAAACGGTACACTGCGTCAAAGAATTAAGGGACAACGTTTGACCAAAACAGTGTGATGTAGAATACTCATCACCATCAAACTGGATCCCGATTGACGCACGATCTGAGCCCAAACGGTCACTTTGAACATCGGCGTTGAACGAAACTTTCTTCTGTGATGCGAAGTTAACCTCGTGTTTCCTATCTCGTGAGAGTGAGTCATCGACATCCTCATAGATTATTTTGATTTCTCGTATAGTTGCATTATCTTCAGTGTTAGTTTCTACTTTTAACGCCGAACTACGTTGTCCCATAGTGACTGGAAATAACTCGTTATTAATTAGCACTCCTCTTACGTACCGCAGCTACGTGCGTATGGATATCACCCGCAAACTCGACCTTCATCCATCGACTAGTGTGAGATCACCTGATTAAGGTACGACACTCAAGAAATCAATAGACGTACATGACTGAGTGAATGGACTAAATTATTTCATTTCGCTCTTTTAGTTCCCATATAAATGATCTAGTAGCGATTCAGCGTCAGTGCAGCGACTTTCTGAAGCACTATTAACTGCACCTGAAGTTTAAACATCATAGAATTTGTTACAGTTGATACCCTCATATAACTGGCTTCTCCCAACGTTTAGCTACAGAAAGGTCGACTGTGCGTAGTCTTGTGCGCCTTTTTCGTGACATAAACTGCAAAGCCTTCGCAAGAACATCGACCTGGTGGACGGAATCGTCAATTAGCACCAAGTCCTGTAATACTTTTGCCATAGTTAAGCAGTCAATATTTATCCACCTTCATTGCTAAGATCAGGGAGCAATTCATCATCATCATCATTATTAATACACGTTAGCCGAGGGTGAGAAACGTGCCTCTGCTAAGGTGCAGCAATACAAAAAGATATAACAAAAATTACGATTCGAAAAATTCAAAAAGCAACTACTATGATGTTAAAGGTCATATAATGCTTTCGCTATGAGACAGTGATTGGAGGAGAAGCTAAAGGAGTGGTAGAGGAACAAAGAAATGCACAACACATAGACCACTGAGAGCGACTCTTCGCCAAATCATCAAGTGTGTCTAACCAAAGGCATTCATCATCCTTCGGACCCCAGCTCGGCAATCGGGATGCAGGTTTGGATGCCAACTTCAAACAGGGTTTTCATGCCTTTAGATCAAGTCATTGCTTGGCCTTCCCGCATCACCTTCCAAACGCACCTCGGCGCGCAAACAACGCACGGGGCTGGAGTCTGTGTGCTGGTATGCGTAACATATGACCCAACCATCGGAGCCTGATGCGTGCTGAGCGGTTCACTTACTCTTCATGCACTAAATACACGACGCCGAATCCATTATATGCTCACGCAATGCTCTTCCTGGACACGCGCTAAGCTGTGAATGCAGCAATGATCGAAGGCAGATACTCTCATAACATCTGTCAACTTGATGGGCCAGGTTGCACAACCATTTAAGATGGTTGAACGGACGGCTGTATTATAAAATCTGCCCTTCAGGGCTAGAGTGACCTCGCGTCGGCGCTAGAAGTGGAGAAGATTGGATGAAATCCCTCGAGCTTTTGGTATACGGCATGTGACCATATCTTCAATCCCAAAAGTGTTAATATACCTGCCCAGGTGCTTGTATGCCTGAACGACTTCTAGCTGATCACCACTAAGCGTCAGCTCAGGGCTGAATCTCTGCTAGGTTTGGAGAAGGACTTTGCACTTCGAGAGAGCAAATCATTGCCCAAAACAATCGACAGCCAGTGCTAATCGGTCCAGTGTTTATTGGTACGTTTGGGCGCCATCGCATATAACGGCAATGTCGTCAGGATAATATGAATCAAGAAGTCGCTCTGCAGGAAGAAACTCCACACTTTGTAGGTTGCATCCAGCGAATGCTGCTTCCATGACTTTGCCAATGGCGAAGTTAAAAAGCAAAAGATGAAGTAATGAAAGCAGCGTTCATTGAACCTCTAGCCTTCAGCAACTGTTGAACTGTATTTCAGTATAGCCGGAATGGCTGTTTACGTGGTGTTGTTTAGGATTTCGCCTAATATTTCTTGAAACTGATAATTATGTAGAAATTACGTTGCTGGCCTGGATTCTCTAACACCCGCACTATTTATGCATGGTGGTGATGTCCTGTGCAAAACAACGGCCTCAATGTTCAAGCACGTCTTAAATATATCATTCCAACTAACTGAAGTGCATCTATTATTGCGGCAATAGACAAGAAGATTAAGCTCACTGGCTTTGTTAACCAAGGGGGTTTGATAGTAGAAAGGTAGTGACAAAATTGTAGACTTCTATTTCCGTTCGTCGTTTCATTGCGGAACAGGAATCCCGGATTAGGAGAAGGTCAGCAGGTTTTCGAGCAGGATGTGACTGTTTAGACCATATATTAACCATGTGGTAGGTGCTAGAGCAGCGCCACACGTGCCACAGGCAGAATAAAGCTGTGATCTTAGACTTCAAGTTTACATGCGCTTCACATCATCACAGTGCGAGGGGTTGTTACAGGACCATTAGCCACATGCCCACCATTTGACCCTTGATAACGAGGATCGTGACGTAGCTAATCAGTTCACTTGCCGTTCACGTGTTGCAACAGCTAAAACTCCCGCCATGGGAGTGAGGCCTTGCCTCTTCAGTTTGAGACGCCTCCAAGTCTATACTCATCGAAGGCTACGAAGCTTTGCTGACCTCGGATCGTACGGTCTGTCTGCAATGATGATGTGCGTAGGCGAGTACTAATTAGTGATTTTCAGACTAGCTCAGACGGATTTTGCTTTGAATGCACATAACCTCATTGACTCGGATTAGAAGGTTATTGTATAATAGTAATTCGCTTAGCAACGTAAGTCGGATAGCACAAATTTACACTATAAATAACTTGAGAACTCACTTAGAATCTGTCAAAAATGTTGCTTTGCACTGAAAACTCATTTCCTAGGCGACCTTTGGTGCCATTCACAAGGTGAGTACGGCAGCGGTGTGCTCTATTCATGGTATGGACACGATTCAAAGTGGACTATCTCTGGACATTGCAATGATAAAAGTCTTCTCAACAATATCTTCACCATGTTCGACTTCCAAATAGCAAAAATCACCGTAACTGGTCTCACATGTACCAAAATAATTAAAGCGTCGTTCAACGGATAGCCTGTTAAATTCATGCCTGATAGAAAACCATCGGTTCCAGTTCCGTTGTTGGTCTATTTAGTTGGGCTCATCCCATACCAACTTCTTTCGGACAAAGTTTGTAATAATAGCTTTGTTGGTAGCAGTGCTGGTGCGATGAGGCCCAGAGGACGTTAAATGGAAGCGACAGTTGAAAGTATGACCCTGCAAGTTATCACTTACTGAACTATAACAGCTCTCTATAATATTTTGAGTGTGCACATCCCATTCCCACTTTAAAACTATCGTTATGCAGCAGTGCATCTAACTCAGTGGATGCTTGAAATAAAGCGTTACTTATTCGATGATCCTTCGACTTTTAATTTTTACTCCAACCATCCTACGGGACTTGTCAATCACATGCTTTTTTACCCGTGATAAATCATTGTTAATTGTTCACTTTATCAAAACTCTCCAGCTTGCATTTTATCCGGTCCTGGGTGAGATTGCAGCTAAAATTAGGGGTACTTTCGACGCCGTTATCTTCACTCAGATATTTTATGCTGTGAACCTTCAGTTCCCACTTAAAGAAGTGCGCGATAACCCCACTTAGAGTACTGATCCATTTTGTCTAATGATATCCTGCATTAGCCAATATACGGGTAAGAGGCTAAACGAATTTAATCGGTTCGTGAATATAATCAACACTAAAGATGCAATCGTTGATGTTGCAACAATGTAGTGTGACATTAATAACGGCTGAATGGAATTCACCTACATTATCGGTAATGGCTTGAGGGAAAGCAAAGCTTACGCAGTTATGTGACGTAGTGGCTCCAACCGGATATACTGTTGTATGATATTCAGTAGGAGGTAGGCCGGTGTTATCTTTGTTGCACCATTAAAAACCTCGTGCAATTCCTGTCGCGACTAAAAATGTAGCTTGTTGGAACATTGCATTAATGTCGGGTGCAATCGCGATTGAGCGGGATCTAAACCACAAGACAAATTGGGACCCTGTAAAAGCAGATTTTTGAGAGAAGTCATACGGTACGAAGCCAGACTATCGAAAACCATTCATGCTTTACTGGGTTTACGCGGATGGGATACACAGTAATGCTGTAGGTACCACGTTTCTCCTACAAGTGGAGGCAGTTCGGCTTGTCTTTTAGCTACCTATTCTTCCACTGCCTTTGTGTATGCTTCGAGTAGGGTAGCTTCCGTTAACAGCCGCTTCTTCAACTGCTCAGGTCTCATCAGTGCGACCTGGTAACCTTAGTCTCTCAGTTTGCCATGGTAACACGATTTCATAATGATCGCCGACTACGTTTACGGAAGTCTCGAGGAATTTGAGTTTAAGTCTGTCGTTCACGAACATGGCTAATCAGGTACTATCAAAGCCGTCGAAGTCCGTTTCATCCGTTTGTTCGAATAAATGAAGTAGGTCGTGATTTTGTTGCAAACAGAATGTATCTCGTCTGTGCAGTCCATCAAAAAGGACGCAACTTTGTCTTCCTTGAACTCGACAGGTTGCTCTGAGCCAACACTATCCATCTCAATGGGTTCTAACAGTATACGGATTACTAGTACTCCCGCATCTCTGTTTCATAGCTCAGTGCAGATATGGGTTCTCACCTGCATTCAGATGCTCGATCTCTCCTCTCGATACTGGAAACCGTAAGTCAGGTATGTGAGGTTATCTGGAGAGATCATTGCTTCTCGTGCCCATTCCAAGTGTTTCCGAAGGACGAATGACTGACCTGACTGAATCTAACCGGAATGCTTCACCGTCTATCAACGGAACAGTTACACAAACTGACTGCGACTTTATCTGGCATAGACCAGAGACGGTATTTAGATTCGCTGTTTCCACGGATACTTGCACTCTGATATTTTGAAGCAAATGAAGATCAATCAATGAACTGTCTGACCCGTTATCCACCAAGGCAAGCGTCCGAACTGTTCCGGCAGGATAAGCGGCTAGAACGGGCAATACACCGGGAGAAGCAGCTGACTTCTTAACGTAAATTAGTGCGAAACTAGATCCGTCAATATTCAGTGTCTTTGGACTTTCCATGCCCTGATTAGCAGGTAGCAACAGATGGGGAATTAATCAACGTCTACTTTACTCAAACTAATTTCTTGACCGTTAGCTTTATAAACCATGCTACGGTTTGAGACTCCGTTGTTGCAACCGGTGAAAATAACATAATTCAAGACGTTTGTAGCAACTAGGTTTTCGGAATTCATCACATCCGTCTAAGTAATGATGTCGTTCACAGAAAATGCA